CCATCAGGATTGACTCCACCTTCAAGTCAGCCTGCCACTGAACATCCGGCAATACAGCAAGAAAGCTGGCGGTCTTTGTGTTCTCCTCCCACGTAGTTGTGATTGATCTTGAGTCCCCATCACGGTTGATTCCACCTTCACGTGATCCTGCCACTGAACACCTGGCACAACAACAAGAAAGCTGGTGGAGTTTGTGATCTCCTCCCAAGTAGTTGTGACTGATCTTGAGTCCCCATCCTGGTTGATTCCACCTTCACGTGAGCCTGCCACTGAGCATCCGGCACCACAACAATAAAGCTAGCAGACTTGGTGATCTCCTCCCAAGTACTTGTTACTGATCTTGAGTTCCCATCAGGGCTGACTTCGCCTTCAAGTGAGGCAGCCGCTGAACACCAGGCACACACAGCAAAGAAGCTGGCATTCTTGTGTTTTCCGCTCACGTAGTTGTGACTGATCTGGAGTCCCCATCTAGGTTGACTTCACCTTCAAGTGAGCCTGCCACTGAACATCTGGCACCACAGCAAGAAAGCTGGTGGTCTTACTGTTCTCCTCCCGAGTGTTTGTGCTGACCTCCAGTCCCCATCAAGGTTGATTCCACCTTCAAGTGAGCCTGCAACTGAACATCCGGCACCACAGGAGGAAAACTGGTGGTCTTTGCATTCCCCTCCAAGTAGTTGTGACTGATCTGGAGTCCCCGTGATGGTTGATTCCACCTTCAAGTGAGCCTGCCACTGAACATCTGGCACCACAGCAATAAAGCTGGCGGTCTTTGTGTTTTCCTCCCAAGTAGTTGTGACTGATCTTGAGTCCCCATCAGGGTTGAGCCTGCCTTCAAGTGAGCCTGCCACGGAACACCTGGCACCACAGCAAGAAACTTGTGGTCTTTGTGTTTTCCTCCCAGGTAGTTGTGACTAATCTTGAGTCCCCGTCAGGGTTGATTCTGCCTTCATGTGAGCCTACCGCGGAACATCCAGCACCACAACAGGAAACTGGTGGTCTTTGTGTTCTCCTCCCAAGTAGTTGTGACTGATCTCGAGTCCC